CATAATGTTGTATTACAAAAGTAATATTGTAATAAAACGTTTTGTATTATAATGTTTCATCACTTATTTTCTGCAAAATTATTACTATTTATAAGTGGATATGCAATTAAAATGTATTATATTGCATTCAAATAACTGTATTAATTTTTAATGTATCATAAATGCAAATCAAGATTGAACAACTCTTGGCTTGTTGGTTGCATATAGCCCTGTACTATTATGAATGCGGATTAAAATGCAGTTATAATTTAGATGGTATAGTTTTGCTCATTATCAATGTTGCATATCCTATATTATATATTTTTATTACTAGTTTTGCATATATTTGATAAAATAGCAATGTTTTATGTGATATACATGCAAATTAGTTTCAAATGTGTGTCAAAATCTATTAATTAACACCGCTATTTCAGATACAAAAAAAAAATATTTCAAAAATAATTTCTATTAAAAATTTCAGGTACTTAATGAACAATATACTATTTTATTTATTATTATTATTATTTTTATTATTTTTTGCTTTTTTATTCCAGAATTAAAGTTATTATAAATATTATTTAAGATTTATAATAAGAAGTAGAATTCAATCTATATACATATTCACATTATTATTAAAAAAATTGCTATTGATTATTGTAAAACATATTGGTTGACAATTTAGACAAAGGCATTAGACAAGTTTTATAACGGAGAAACAGGAATAAATCGGAAAAAAAAAACTTTTGTGTTAATTTAACATAAAATAAACATTTTGTTTTACTAAATCTTTTTGTGACAATGACTTTCATAAAATTCTTTATAATGATCCAATAATATATGGTCACAAATATTACTTATCAATTTTATTTCAATTAGGTTGAGAAATAAGCACGTTAAATATATATCAATTGATTTTAATATTATAATCAACTAATATATAGTATTATAAAAATATTTAGTATTAAATTGATTAACACTGCATTTTTGAAATATTTTAAGAATGTCTTTATTTATAGAATTTGAAAACAATAATCTTTTAAATCGATCGCATCAGTTTTTGTCTTTTCAATGATAACAACGCGGTAGAATAAAAAAAAATAAATATAAAGAAATTCACGCTAACTTGACAATTTTTATCAATTTATTAGTACTTTTTTTTTTGGATGAAGGATCGAGGGTTTATTTGCTTTGCATTTTTTGTTAGCTATGCAAATATTGCCTTTAGAACAAGGATATTTGATTAAAAATCAACTAAAAATAGAAAAGATGAGAAGAAAAACATGATATGAATGAATAAAAATTCTTTTTTTTTTTTTCTTTTCAAATGTCACCTAAATCAAATGCTCAAAAGTCATCAAAAATAAATTAATTTTCTTCAAACATTAAGAAAAATGTATCAGAAGGAGAAAAATATTTTTATGAAATACAAATCAAATTAGTACATGGTAATGCAAAATTGTAAAAATAATATTGGAGCTAAATCATTTTTTTATTATTTTAGATAATTCATTGAAAATCCTTAAAAATAAATAAAAAAAAAAAACACATTATATAAATATATATATATATAATATATAACACATTATATATATATATATATATATATATATATATACATGTGTGTGTGTTATAAAATGATTAATTGATATATCTGTTATAATAATATATATAAAGGATTGTATTTCTGGAATATATCGAATATATCTAATTTTCATAAATTGACAATACACAATGAATAATATTGTAGAAATTGTGCCACTACTTAAACAAACATACCAATAAGTTTTATAAAAAAAACACTAATATACGATTGCAGTTAAGTAGTGGTGGTAAACTTTATAAAAGATATTTTAAATCCTCAAACAGCTACTTATTTTTTTTATATTGCGGAATCAGCACAATTTAGTGATTATGAAGTCATTTTTTGATGTTTGTTATTACTAATGGTAAATGTGTAAAATTTATTGAATCTTTCAGCATCTATAATGTTTCTAATTATGCTATTCATAATGTCAATTCAATCAGTCGTAATCGTTTAATACCTTTCGTCATGTGCCTCTTAAAGTATTAAGAAGTATTATTTTGAGGTTTCTTTTTTTTTGCCTGACACTGAGTAATTCATTTCTCTGCAATCAAGAATGCAAAAAAAATATCCAATGTGCAAAAATTCACAATTGAAAACTTTAAATTCGTAATATGTTCGAAAGTTGTAATTATTTTATCCAGAAGGGAAACAGCAAAGAATTTAAACAAAAATCTCACAGGTCTGAATTTATTGCTGAAAACCCCATACACTGGATCGAAAATTAATAGTTTTACCATATACGATAAGAATATCAAACATCATAAATATCGCCAGTGAGTAATTCACCAAACATTAGTTTGTCTACTTAGCGGTTTTAGACCCAAAACTGTTTGCTCATCTACGGTTCCATCCAACCGTTCAATATGTTAAAATCGGTGGTAATCATAAATTTCTTTTTCAAATTCGGTCCAAATAAAATAATAAGGATTGAAAAAGCTCTTTTACATAAAAAAAAAACCCAAACTTAAAAAGCTACAAAATAATGCAAAAATATATTTAGATTGTGTTTGCACAGTAAGGATAGAGAATAAATATTCTAAATTGAGGCTGTCAAATCTATGGTCCATATCTGTGGAACGATATGAAAGTGAATTTCCGTACAACATTAGTATTTTAATGATCTCAATCTTGTTTTTTTTCTCAACTTGGTTCTCTCTGTCTTGGTTTTTTTAAAAACTTAAACAAAGCAAAAACATTTATACTATATTACTATAAATGTATTAAATGAAATTTTTATTCTGTTTAAATACCAAACTGCATATCTTAATTTTAAATTTCAATCTATACTTTACTTTACTGTTTCAAACTTCTTACTTCCTGAATGATTAAAGCAACATCATTAAGAAAAACCAAAAATTTTGCAAAAAATATATTGTTATATATATCTGAAATTGTAAATTTTAATTAACTATGTTGTTTAAAAAATTTTTTTTTTTATATGTAATCCCAAATAGCTTTACTTTAAATGCAACCTCATTAAGCTTGAACAATTAGACTCATTTTTTTTAAACATAGGATCTTCAGAAATCAACATTATTAGATATAAAGAAACTACATTCCAGATATAATATAGTAAATTCATGTTTAGTTCTTTATTAATTTGAAATATATTTTTAAGTTAAACATTTTGTAAAATATTCATTATATAACAATAAACATAAATGTATACTACTGTGCCAAAAAAGTAAGACTAATTTTCAATTTAAAATTCCATGGGCTTATGGAAATGAAATTTTTTTTAGGTTGCTGACACTGACCGTGACATCTGTGTGAAATTTGACGTCAAAATTTGCATTAGTGTTTGAGTTACTCTTGGCTTTGTGAGTCGCTAAAACTGATTCCGGCGATTTTTGAAATGCCTGCATTAAATGAGCAAAGAACTTGCATTAAATTGTGTGTGCTGAAATGTATACAATGTTGCAGAAGGCATTCAGTGAGCATTCTATATCAGAAAGAAATGTTTAGAAGTAGTATAAACAGTTCAAAGAAGGCAGAAAACGCGTTGAAGACGAATAGCCGTCTGGTCGACCATCAACATCAACCGGTGAAGCTCACGTTCAAAGGCCACTCCGGGGACACCGTTTTAAGTCGATTGAGGAGATTCAACGTGAATCGCCACGCGCTTTGAAGGCCATCCCAGCCGATGTCTTTTTAGCATGCATGAGTATTGGAAAAAAAGTTGGCATAAGTGCATTGTGTATAGAGATAATTACTTTGAAGGCGATGAAATAAATTTGGAAGAATAAATAAAGAGTTTTTGAAAGAAAAAAAAATTGGTCTTACTTTTTGGGCACAGTAGTAGTTCATACTTTCATTTCATTAAGAGTACTACTAATACAGACAGATATAATGCAATTTACAGATTAAAAAAAAAATAGTGAATTCCGTGGTCAAGATTTCCACTTCTTTGCCAAAGAAAAGTTGTCGTATTACATTCGCTTACATAAATACTTATTATCTTGGGGCATATTGTCTGATTAGACAACTAAAAAAGGGGAATAGAAAAAAAAAAATTATTCTTCACTGTACTTACATAAGTTGACATCCTTTTATATATATATATATATATATATATATATATATATATATATATATATATATATATATATATATATGTTGTCCATTAGTTCTTCTTATTTTTGCTACTGTCAATAATAAGTACAATAAAAACACTATTTCCTTTTCATGAGCTGAATATGATCTGACATGAAGATAATATTTTAAGTTTATTGTACTATATGTTACTTGTATTTCCGTTTCTCCTGAAGATATTATTCTTAACCTGTGTTGAATAAAAATTTTAGGACAGTAAACACATCCCTGTTATGCTTTTATTTTGGTACGAAGTAATAATTTAAAAAAAAAAAAAAACATGAAGTATGTTAAAAAAATTATTGGAAAGGATAAAGTAATTTAATAATTAGTCTTCAAAAATATTAACGTGAAATAAACACACATATCTATCTACCTGTCTGTCTATAGATATATATATATATATTGTTAAAAATATATGTATTGGACATGGCTTTATAAGTTTTATGTTTTTATGTATAAAAAATTAATATTTTGGTAGTAGTATTTGGAATGCATTATATGTTGTTATTATTTATCCCACTTAATCGATAGCAAATCTAGACCAATTACATGAACCCTTGTCGTCATCATGGAAGTCTGAAATCGCTCTGTGTCTCTGAAGAAGGGGATATTGCATTCAAAGAGGACTTTTAGGAGGACCAACCCTGCATTTCAATATCGTGTGGGAGTAAACCCGGATTCCGAAACCCGAGGGAAGATGCTAAACATCACAGACACCATCGTGTATCCTCGTGTTTTGAAAGAGTGTCTAGCCAACAGCAGACTCAACCTCAGCCCTGATGTTCACTAGCGGGACACGTTGCCACTGAGCCACGAGTCTGGCAAAATGTTAAATGCCCGTGGCACGCGGATTTCCCAGGTGATTACCCTGGACCTGATCACGCCCGATGATGCTTGACTTCGGTGTTCAAACGAGAACCGATATATTCAAAATGGTATGACCTTTGTCATGTTATTAAAATTATATATTTTATTATTATATTATTAAAATTATATAAAATACATTACATTATAATACAAAATAAATGAAGAAATAGCCCATTGAATGAGACAATACACACAATTACATTGGAAATTACATAATAATACATTAAATTACAAATTACATTGTACATTAAATTACATTGAAAATTACATAATAATTACATTAAATTACATTGAAAATTACATAATAAGTACATTAAATTACATTGAAATTACATAATATTGTTCATTAAATTACATTGAAAATTACATAATAATTACATTAAATTACATTGAAAATTACATAATAATACATTAAATTACATTAAATTACATTGAAATTACATAATAAGTACATTAAATTACATTGAAATACATAATAAGTACATTAAATTACATTGAAAATTACATAATAATACATATTACGAGAGTATTTTGAAAAGATTGAAATGTCTCGCAAAGGTAAAATTATGGATTTATATTTCTTTCATTAAAAGCTACAATGAAAAAAAGACAAAATATTTAATTGAATAATAGTAATTAGAAGTCAATACAATACAATTGACAAAAATAAAATAGACACTGTGATAGAAACAAGAAATATCTTAATTTTTAACTGTTTTGAGTGAGACATTGTTTCGAATGTTTAATTAAAAGTTAAAAAATAGCTTAATTATGAACAGCTTATTATTAATCATTAAATTATTATTGAATTATTTTGTGATTATGATCTGGAGCCAAAATTATTTTCAAGGATTTTAAATATGTCTAGAAAAAAAAAAAGGTTGAAATCGTAATTTTTGAAAAAATTCCATAAAAGAAAGAAAAAGAAATTTATTAAAAAATGCAAACTAATTTATAAAATCAATTATAAATTAACACATTTATTTCTTTGTGAAATTAAACAAGCAAAACTTCCAGCTCTATTAAATAATGAATTTGTCTTCACCATTGTTTTACTTAGAAATTAAACATCAACTATCAACATGAAATCAGCCGAACCTTATTTTGTTCAATTTCAATGACAAAGCTTGCATTAATAAGCCTATAAAGCTGAAAATCATCAGTACTTTTCTCGAAGTACCATATTGGAAGTATCTACTAGAAGTACAATATACGGATAGATTTCACAAGTTCATGCATATGTAAGAATTATAAGCACATAACTATTTGTGCGAATTTTGCAATTTATTTCTGGTTTCTACATTTGCGAAAGTTTATAATTTAGTTGATATCGATCCCAAAGTTTTGAAATAATCGATGATAAACATCAAACGTTTTCTGCTTAAAAGGATTTTAAATAGTGGTGGACTTCACTTTTAACTATTTTCAAGTAGTTAATTTTGAAATAACCAGTTTTACTTGCAAGTACAAACATCTCGACATTTATTGCTATGAAGTTGTACGTCAATTGTACTAATATTATTGATAAAATGTATTGTCTGAATAAGTAGTTAATGTATTTGGCTTGAATTTAATATCTTATATGTTGTTTAAGTTAAGGTAATTTATTATAATATTCAACAGTGATTTTGATGTAGCCTTTTTACTTTTGAAATACGAAGCATAATCCATTAATGCAGTTCTTTTTAATTTTTTTTTTTTCATTTCCAAAATACATTGTTATATCTGTAAGCGACATTTTTGTATTAATTTTATAAATTTTTGTTTATAGTCTATAACAGAGTTTTATAATGAAAAAAATTCAGTGAAAAATTAAAAGTTTTCTTTTTAAGTAGCAACAGAATTGATTTTTGAAAAAGTAATTTAATCATTAATGGATATTTTCCATTCATCATCAAACTTATATATATATTTTATATATTTATATATATATGACTTTATATATATAAATCATCATCTCTCATTGAAAAGAATTAATGCAGTATAATAAAAAGAAATGTAGAATAATATAAATACGCAAGCATTGTAATTCAGTTTCTTAGACTTTGAGAATGTTTTCATTTATTATAAATATCATATTTTAACGAGTATAATAATCCAAATACAACTTGTTCACTGGCTATTAATAAATTCCATTACAAAAGAGATTGATAATGAAAAATAATACTACAATAATCGAAGATGTTAAAGTTAGCCTATTATTTTCATTAAAATATCTATTTTAACTTTCAATAATATGTTGCGATAATTAATTAGAGCTATGGGTTACTTAAACATGGAGTATATATTGCTAATAGCAGCATAATTTTAAATTTTAGTCAACGAAGAAATTCTCCAAAGAAATTTTGGATAAATCACTAATAGGAAATAATGCCTATTTAAAAAAAAAAAAAAATGAATTAAATATATTCAAAATATAATTTTGTTATTCTAGTGTGCAGGTTGGGCAACCATAATGTAACTAAGTCTAGTTGAATTGAGATACTCGAGGCACAGGTTGAAGAATTCACAGTTTTATTTACACAGAGCCAAACATTATATACATACAATTAGATACATACAATAATTAACACATTTAAACTATAATTACAGATTCGTGAAAGGATTGCACTTCTAAGTCGAAAACCCGATACTCTGCTAAACGGCGGATGCGCAAAATATATTTTCTCTCCAGGTGAGATTTTATGGTCAACTAATACGTAGGATTACATTAAATATATTTCCTCTCGGGATGGGAGACTATAAACTAAGCGTTTCTCAGCGGGAGCGCGTTTTGCTCTGTACTCCCTCTCGGGGTGAGAGTCTCGAGGTCTACATTTCTCCTGAAAGCCACAGGACGCACTCTTGGCAGTGTGTACGAGGAAGCATGGTTACATCATTAAAAATTATATTAAAATAAAAAAATATTACATTACAATACATTTTTATAATTGCGATAAAAATTAATTCCTGTAATATAAATACTGAAAAAATATTTTAAAAAAAATCAATTCTAATTTTTAAACAAATATTTATTAAAAAATATTCTTCTTTTAGCATTGGTTTTAATCAAAATGAGCATATCTAACTTAATACCATTGCATGTCTAATAAACGAGCATATCTAACATATGTTTTAGAATCTAAAATGGAAAGAATTATCATCTTTGATGCACATGAATTTCTTTTTTTTTTTTAAATTTTTTCAATGATTTATAACCTGCAAAAAAAAGGATTGTTACAGAAACTAAAGCATCCATATTTGTATTTCAGTAAAAGCAAAACGTCTTTCTAAAATGGTTAAAAACAAGTTTTTACTTATCCTTTATGAAACATAATCATGCTTTTTGTGTCCTTTCCTCGTCGGTAATATAAGATTTCAAAAACTGAGTAGGAACAAAACATTTCAAAAAAAAAAATATTATCAAAAGTTCGGTTTGTTTATTGGCATTGAACTCTTTTGTTTCTAAAATAACTTTTGCAGTTTGAACAACGATGAATTATTGGTCTGTTTACCTGAAAATTTAACGAGAAAACTTTCTGAGTTTCTTTTGTGTTTTTCCACTAAAAAAAAAAAAAAAAAGGAAAAAAAAAACTCAACTTTATTTTTTAAAGTATTTGCTGAATTTGTTTTACATAAAAATAGATTTACTTTACAAAAAATAGTTATTATTAAAGAATGATTTATTTTCTAAAAAAAAAAAAAAAAGTTCTTTTTAAAGAAATGTCTTAATCATTAATATTACTTCTTTTTGTTTTGTAATTGCATATTTTGAACATTTTAAAAAATGTTACTGTATAATTTAAATATTTTAATATACAACTTTGTTAGCAACTCAATTATAAAAAAAAATCCGGCGAAGTTCTAAGTAATAATTATAAAGTCCCATTATCTAATGGAAGCACGCATAAGCTACCATGCAATATTCGGATGGTTAAAAACCAGTTGTAGGCCGCATTACCGTCAATGATTTCAGAAAAGAGTAGCTTTGATAAACATAGTGGTAAGTGACTGGTTGTGATTATCATGCAATTGTAGGATGGTTAAAACCAACTATTGACGAGTTACAGTTAGTGCTTTCAGGATACAAGAGTTTCGATAATCATTGTGGTGGTGTAAGTGTTAATCTCTGACTATCATACAATATCAGGATGGTTAAAACAACTGTAGGCGCGTTACAGTTATTGCTTCAGAGTAGTTTTGATAATCTTTATGGTGAGTGTAAGTGTTAATCACTGGATTATCATGCAATAGTAAGATGGTTAGATACAGCTATAAGGGCGTTACAGTTAGTGCTTTCAGAATAGAGTAGTTTTGATAAGTGGTGAGTGTAAGTATTGATCACTGGACAATCATTCAATAATAGGATGGTTAGACACAGTTTTAGGTGCGTTACATTCAGTGCGTTCATGATATAATAGTTTCGATAATCATTGTAGTGACTGTAGGTGTTGAATATAAGACTATCAACGTAGCAGTAGGATGGTTAGAATTAACTGTAGGTGTGATACAGTTAGTGCTTTCAGGATAGAATAGTTTCGATAATCATTGTGGTGGGTGTAAACATTGACACTGCTCTATCATGTAATAATAGGATGGTTAAAAACAGCGGTAGGTGCGTTGCAGTTAGTGTTTTCAGAATTAGTTTTGATAATCATTGTGGTGAGTGTTAACATAGATCTCTGATTGTCATGCAAAAGTAGGATGGTTGAAACCAATTGTAGCAGCGCTACAGATACTGTTCTCAAGATAAAGTAGTTTCGATAATCATTGTGGTGAGTGTAAGTGTTAAACACTTGACTATCATGCAATGTTAGGATGGTTAGAACCAACTGTAGGCATTTAACATTTATTGCGTTCAGGATAGTTTCGATAATCACTCTGGTGAGTGTAAGCATTGATCACTGGACTATCATTCAATAATAGGGTGATTAAAAACAGCTGTAGGTGCATTGCAGTTAGTGTTTTAGAATAGACTAGTATCGATAATCATTGTGGTGAGGGTAAGCATTGATCACTGGACTATAATTGTAGAATGGTTAGAATCTGCAGTAGGCGAGTTACAGTAACAGCTTTCGGAACAGAGTAGTTTCAATA